ACTTATGATTCACAAATGTTTAGGGGTATGCGTCCCCCCAGAAAAAAACACTGATGATGATGATGATGAGGTAAAGGACCCCTGGACAGTTAATTACAGTCAAAGACGACTATGGGGTTGCAGCGCACATCTCTCTTTCAGGCCGAGGGAGCCGGCGTTTGTCCACAGACAGCTTTCTGGGTCATGTGGCCAGCAAGACTAAACCACTTCTGGCACACGGAGGACTATGACAAGTGGCAGAGCGCATGGAAATGCCGTTTACCTTCTCGTTGCAGCGGTACCTATTTATCTACTTGCACTGGTGTGCTCTCGAACTGCCAGGTTGGCAGAAGCTGGGACAGAGCCACGGGAGCTCACCCCATTGCGTAATAATTCCTGAAAGACCACCTCCCCCTGTAAGATCTGTAGGGTCACTTAGACCACCTGGGGAAATTCTACCTGTAGAACTGCACTGCACCCTACAGAAGATCCTATGGCACTGACGCATGCCAATCTTAGTGGCATGCATTAAAGGTCTGCCGTAAGTTAAATTGTCTAAAATTACTAAGTTTGGTGTGGTTGATATCCAAGTTATATCTTGTTTTCCTACGGTCAATAAAGGGCAACGCCGAACTCTCAAATGATTCTCTATGTTGTTAATGATCTCCCAGATCTGTTCAGTCAGATTTGCCATTTCCAGGCAGATTCCAGAACTTGCTCAGTCACTCTTTTAATGCTGGAAGATTATGGGCTGCACCATCTGCTAGTTAATAAACCAGTTTTCATCTAAGCTTTTTGTGTGTGCACCCATTCGTTTCTGTTGGGTGTCCCAGACCTTTTACATTCCAGGTATTTATGTTAACCTTTCCTGGCTGGCAGCTTTTTCAGCATGGCAGAGATAAAATTAAAGAATCATGGCAATTAACTGAGTAAGGCTTGGTTGCTAGTTCATCAAGAGAGTGACCATAGTAAAAGGTCAAAGAAGGGAGCTGTAGATGTCATGGAAGAAAAGATTTGGAACACAAAGAGTTCTGAGTTTCCCCTGAAACAATGCACACTTGTGCTCATTCACTAGTGTCAGGCGAAGGCCTTCAGAGGAATCCACTGACCCATGTGGACACAGAACTTAAAATATATCGAGAAAAACATAAAGAAAAGAAAAACATTAAAGCAAAAACCTTCCCTGTAGTCTCTTTAACAACAGCAGTTTGTTTCTTCCCCAATAAGGTAGTAGTCAGTTGCCTGAGATAAGAACTTCTTGGTCAAAGAATATTAATTTGCAGAACCTTTTTCTATACAGACGCTAGATGGAGCTGTCCGCCTTCTTCCCGAGAAAGAAAATTAAGGCAGTTAGAAGAAGGATCTCCTGTCTCGAAAATTTCTCTTGCGAAGCAGCTGGAGGGGGCTCTGAACTGGATCAAGACTGAAAGGGAAAAGTTGTCATTTCCCCTCCCACAAGGTCCTCTGGCCCTACCTTGGGGAAAACCAGAAATGTTAAAGATTCCATGTTTGGAAAATAAGTATTTTAAAACACCCTGTGCCAAACGTTCTATACAAATGGAAAGATGGATCAGTAACTTGTTTTGGAATGGCTTTTCCCTTGGTCTCCCTGGGCTGAGAAGATTCTTCCCACTCATATTTCATGCATAAAGCATAACAGGGGGGAAATGTGTACAATCCCCAAACAGATATAATTAAGACCCATTGAAACAACCAGGACAGAATGAAATGTTGTACATGCACTTCAACCATACCTAGATTAGCAACTGTGTGTTTAACACTCTATGTAAGTGAGACAGCCCCCAACTTGGTGGGTTTGCAGTCAGAAGATGTAAGCCCCACTGAGTTTAATGGGGCTTGAGTATATTTAGCTGTCTCTTGTTACAGGACTGCCTCTTAGACATTCAATCAATGCAAACAGTGAATCTTACAATTACCATTCTATGCTCATAATTTGAAGATTGCAATCACCGGATAATGCACTTTAAAACATGTATCCCTACCAATGTAAACTCTGCCCTCAAATGCAGGCAGCTTGAGTCATACTAGACAAAGTTCCAATTGGTGAAGACAATATTCCAGTTGGCGTTAGGGGGGAGACCCACGTTCAGATATCTGAAGCACCCCTTGGTTCATGTGTTTTCTTCTGTGGAGGCAAGAATTTAGACCTGAAACCCTCTCCCTATTCTCCCTGCACACAGATGTAAGATCATGAACATATTAACCAAGTAAGTACCGTATTTTTCGCTCTATAAGACGCACCAGACCACAAGACGCACCTAGTTTTGGAGGAGGAAAACAAGAGGAAAAAAAATCTGAATCTCAGAAGCCAGAACAGCAAGAGGGATCACTGCGCAGTGAAAGCAGCAATCCCTCTTGCTGTTCTGGCTTCTGGGATAGCTGCGCAGCCTGCATTCGCTCCATAAGAAGCACACACATTTCCCCTTACTTTTTAGGAGGGAAAAAGTGAGTCTTATAGAGCAAAAAATACGGTACTTGGGCAGCTTCCTCTGTCCCTTCCCCAAACTGAATCGTTCTGACGTTTAATCACTTAAACTGGCAGCTTTCACACACACACACACACACACACACACAGCTTTTTAGACATTCCCCTTTCACAGGAACTCAAAGCAGCAATATTTCTCAGTTCAGGTGTTGCCTTCTACATACAGAGCTCTACAGCAGGGTTGGGGAACCTCAGGCCCAGGAGTCAAATATGGAGCCTCAGGACTTCTCCTCAAGCCATACTGCCTCTCCCCAGGGCACAGCCCTCATCCTACACCCTCAAGTGCTTTTGAATGGCTAGAATGTCTCATTGAACTGCGATAATGCCTCTTGCTTGCATGGATGGAGGCTGAGGAGATGTTTGTTTTCTTCTTTTTCTTCCTCTTCTTACCCCACCTACTTTTGCCTCTGGCCCCTACCCAACTCTGGCACGTTGCTTGCCAGGAATAAAGCACTCAGGCTGGAAATTATTATCACTATTATTTATTATTATTATTTGTTAAATCTGTACACCGCCCTTCATACAGCCGATCTCAGGGCGGTTCACAGCATTAAACGTTCCCCACGATGAGTTTAAGATTTAAAAGCAGGTGGTAACCCTGTTTTTCTTGCCACAGCTAAGAAGATCTTGTTCCCACAAATATCTCCCCACAAAAAACACACCCCTAAACAAATTGAGAAGTTGTAGGGTGGGAAGTTTGCAACTTCTCTCTCTTTCTATAAGTATTTGTTGGAAATTAGCTCTGTGAAGCTAACTATTAACATTATGCATTTTTCAATTACAAGCAACGCTAAAGATTAAAGCTGCAACAACCGCCTCAGTTGTAGCTTCTGTATTCTAAAGGCACGATGTAGCCAAATGGTACACATGAAATAATAAAATAATAATATTTGCACCCCACCCCATCTAGCTGGGTTGCCCCAGCCGCTCTGGGTGGCTCCCAACATATACAAAAACTTAATAAAACATTAAAAATTACATATATAGTGCTGCCTTCAGATGTCTTCTAAAGTTTGTATAGTTACTTTAAAAAAAGCACGTAGCCATCCTCAAAAATAGTACAGGCGGCAACTATTTTAGGCACGTCCAATTGGCGCGTGGTTGCCAATGCGCGGGTCCTTTTGGACCCAGAAGAGGGCAGAACTGGGACGTAATGGGGGCAGGATGTAACAGGGCAGGGGGCACTTATGCGTGCTCCGCTGATGTACACAGGGGCCGGGAACGGAACCCCTGTACGAAATGGTTGCCACCTGCAATTCCAAAGGAAAGCAAAACTATCCTTTTAAAAAGAGAGAGAAAAGGCTAGGATTCACTATCTTATCTTCCCAACCACGCCTGCCTGCCTGCCCCCCTGGCAAGCCACCGATGCACACAAAAAGTAAACATATATAAATCCCCCGTAGGGGCAAGATTGTTTCCTGAAATAAATCACATAAAAATGAGCAGCAGCAGCAGCACAAAAGGAAGGCATTCTCTGCTTTATTAGCAGGCGCACCTCCCAACAATATATATAAATAATAGAAGTTAACAGTCAAGGAAATGTTTTAGGAGAAAAAAGGACATGATTCCATTCCCCCACCCCCCACCTAAATGAGCCACATTTCTTGGATAAGAGAAAGGCACAGGAAGAGGGGAGGAATCACAAAGTGACGTATTATGGCCCAAGACCGTCCGCCCCCATCTTCCAGACACATGCAAAGACTACTCACATGAGAAAGGCACTATTAGGGTAGAAACGAACTTGTTGGTTATAAAAAAGCAAATTCAACTGGTTTTGTTAAAAAAATGGGAAATCCCCCTTTATGTAAATTCCCATTTTCTGAGGGGTATTATCATATCTGGGATAGCACCAGCTCTTGGCTACAGGCATTGTCAAGGTTGCTGGGATATCAAGGAGCGTGGGAGCTACCGAACTTTCACAACTTTTACCTGCTTACTAGGCAGGGCCAGCGTGAAGATTGTCTCCCCACTGCAATACTTAGGACACTGTGACTTTAATACAGAGTGAGCCCTGTTTCTGGCTGTGAACTAAAAACCTGTTTCAAAACACATCAGAAGGAAACAGGCAACAGCCTGAGTGCTTTAGGACTCCTTGCAATGGGATTTGCGGGACCAACCACTCCATTTCTTCCAGTAATGCATCTTGTTCTCGGACGGGAATTAAGCTCCCACTTCTGAGCTGAAAGAAATAAACCTGCCACCACAAACTCTAAAGAACCGAGTTCCTAATGGAAAACTGAAGGATGCGGAGTAATCCATCTCAAAAGTCGAGTGTAATGAAGGGTCTTCAAGTGAACGAACCGACTCTCAAGTAGAATGACTGCATCTTCCTAACCTCAAGTTATACGTATAATGACTACAGAAAATCTTGAAAATGGACTGTTCTTTAACAAAACTTGGGATACAATCTGCGTCGTTCACTCTTCATCATTTGTTTAACACATGCATTAAGGCCTATATTTAAAAAAGGATGAGGAAGGAGGAAGAGAAAAAGGAGAGGGAGGGGAATACTTACCTGAAAAATTCCGAGACACCAGCATTGTTGTGAGGATTGCACCCTAAAAAGAGAGAGGAAATGATTTGCGTTTGATACCAGGCTCCTGAGATATATTCTACACCATGTTAGCAGGCACACATGCTTACTGTAGCCTGTAAACAGTAAATGTTAGCCAGATGTAAGGCAGGCCAGCCTAACATTACACAACAAGCTTCCTTGAATGAAACTATTTCACTTCAACTTTTTTTGCAAGAAGAAATGTGATTTTTGTATGCCACAACGGTCGCCCGAATATTACTTGGAAAACACAAGAACTACCAACAATGGAAGATTGGCAGATGAAGATGATGGACTTTTCGGAGCTAGCTGACCTGACTGGAAGAATCCGCGACCAGAAAGAAGAGGAGTTTCAAGAGGACTGGAGGAAATTTAAGGTCTATTTGAATAAATATTGTAATATAAAAAATTAGAAATTACTTGAAAGAAACAAATAGGCCTAGGATTAAACTAAGTTATAATTAAATAAATGGGATTTAGAATGTTAAGTGAATAAGGTGGACTATAATTGGAAATTGTTCTAGTTTAATAATGATATTGGAAAGCTGTTACTTTTAACTACAAGGAAACTCAGAAGGGAGGGACTTGAGGAAGTCAACCAAGATGTTTAAAAGGTTGGATTTGTGAAGAATTAAGTTTGTTGTTATTGTTTATCTGTTTATTGTTCTTTTTTTCCTTTTTCTGTTTTTGTGTATCATTCTGCTTTGTGGCTTTTGTTATCATTGTGGAAAATCTAATAAAAATTAAATAAAAAAAAAGGAATGTGTCCAGTACACAATGCAAAACCTTGGCCTCACCCCAATGTCACAAGTTAAGACTTGCATGGGAAGGCCCTGCCATCAGACACCCCTGAGTACAGCATGAACCCCAATGTCTGTGTCAGTAGCAAATATGCACCCCAAATATGTACCACCACCTACCATAACCCTAAACCATGAGAACATAAAGTCTGTGCCTTCAACCCACCTTCAGCTTTCTTCTGGCATTGAACTTCCTCAAACATTCCACAGTCTCCTGTCTGTGCATCATGGAGGCCACAGTTGATCGTTGCTGGGGAGGGAAGCAAAGAACACTGTTAGGAGTATCTCTGATAGGAAAGGAAAGCAAATATCTGCAAAAATTACCCCCCCCTTTTTTTTGTCTCAGTCAAGGTAAAGGGACCCCTGACCATTAGGTCCAGTCGTGACGGACTCTGGGCTCATCTCGCTTTACTGGCTGAGGGAGCTGGCATACAGCTTCCGGGTCATGTGGCCAGCATGACTAAACCGCTTCTGGCAAACCAGAGCAGCGCACGGAAACGCCGTTTACCTTCCCGCCGGAGCGGTACCTATTTATCTACTTGCACTTGCATGCTTTCGAACTGCTAGGTTGGCAGGAGCAGGGACTGAACAACGGGAGCTCACCCCATTGCGGGGATTCGAACCGCTGACCATCTGATCAGCAAGTTCTAGGCTCTGTGGTTTAACCCACAGTGCCACCCACATCCCTGGTGCTGTCAAGAGCCGTGCTCTTAACACTACTGTAAATGTGCAGGGGGGCGAAATGACTGAAACTACCCTTCCAACAAGAGGAAGAGAAAGGAAAGGGAGATACTTACGCAGACCCATGGGTGCTTAAGAGCCTGGTCAGCTGTGATACGTTTTGCTGGGTTTATTGTCAGCATCTGGTTGATTAAGTTCTTCGCTTCCGGAGTCACAGTGTCCCATTCTGGAGACGGAAACTAGAAGCGAGAGAGGAGACAGGGAAATGCCTTTTGCCCCTTGCTGCACCGAGCTGGCTTCTCCTGCCCGTGCTCCACAATGAACTCATTGCCACATTCCACCCTTTCAGCTGGCAGCTTTGGCATATTTACGAATATGAGGGCATTCGGAGATTTGCATTTTGGGGCAATGCATAGGCAATGCATGATGCAGTTTTGGGGGTGGCTTCAAGTGGACTGCAGAACCCTGCAGGTGCCTTTTTCTTTTTACGTGCTGTTATAACCATTTGTACCTTACATTGGCGCTTGAACTTCACACACCTTCCTGCATATAAAATGCCGCCGTGCTGCAGCTGGGCAGCCACACCGATTACAGCATGACAAACGGACAGGCAGGAAGGCGAGTGAGGCAGTAGAACTGGTTTAGGGCAGGGAGGAGTTGTGAAGCCCCACAGTCTATCTATACTGCCATATTTCAGCCAACTGATTGGAATTAACTGTACAGAAAACAATTCTCTTACATCGTAGGCTCCTGCCTTGATCTGCTGATACAGTTTGTGCTGATCTTCATCCCAAAATGGGGGGTACCCCACTAGCAATATGTACAGAATGACACCTGGGGGAGAAGGAAAAGGTATTGCAGTTACATTGGCTTGCTCCAATTAGGCCTGCAGCCCATTCTCACAATGCAGTCTTGGTATACGAGTCCAGAGACTTTCAAGCCCACCTTCTGTGGAGGGACATTTTGCCATGGCCATGCCACTGCCCTAGGTGCTGTGATTCATTTGGAACACCAAGAGCTCCATTTTAAAACTAATGCACGGGTCATCAGAGAGTATTTGCGGCTTCGTCAGTCATACAATGTCCCAGTGGTTACTAAACCGCAAGCCCCAAGTGCTGGAAAAGCCCTTGTGGTGATGGTCTTCTCCTCTATGTACAGTCCATTGTAAGGCAGTGCTTGATGTTAACTTCCTGTGTTCTCATAACCAGACTCACTTCAGTAGTGAATTGTGGGGGGCATGTTTAGGGGAAAGCCCCACTGCACAAGCGGAAAGCATATGTTAATGAACTGAATAGATTGAAAAGACATGGGGGTGTGTGGAGAATGTGTGTATGAACTTAACAGTTCTGAGCTTTATTTTTTTTAGTCGCTATTTGTTGCTGATATTGTTTTATAGATTATCAATGTCGTACCGATTTGTTTATCATATAATATGACTTTTGATGTAATTGTGATGCTTAGCTTATTTTTATAGCTATTTTATAGATAGCAATTGTTTTACTGATGATTTGTTAATTTTTTTAGACAATTCATGCTGTACTTGTGAAGTCATATTATGCTCTATGATGTTAATTCTATTCATTGTTTGTAAGCTGCTTTGGGATTCATTTGAATGAAAAATGCACAGAAAGACAATCAATCAATCAATCAATCAATCAAGTCCTTGCACGGGGCTCCTGCTGACGGGACTCGTTACGTGAATTCCATCCTAGCTTTATTTTTATAATAACTATCTTCCCTTCCTTTCTGCGTTATTGCAAAATGAATAATTAACTTGCATAATTTGCTGCAAGATATTGTGGAGACCCTCTAGTGTAGAATTCATTTTAAAACGATGTCAGATTTTAAGCATGCATACCCCTCACTGTCAAACAATATGAATGCTAGGTAGCCTTACCACATGCCCATATATCCACGGGTTTTCCATAAGGATCTTTTCTTAAGACCTCGGGGGACAGGTAGCCTGGAGTACCAGCAAACCCTATCGAAACACAAGATGCGGAACAGATTCAGCAGCTTGAAATTAACGTTGCCATTCTCGCACAAAGCTGGTGTATGTGTATAAAAACTAGGATATTCAGGCAAAGTCACTAGGCTATCAATAACAAAGCAAATGAGATGACATCCTATCAGCTCCTCGTCCAGGAAACCTTGAGCCATATCATATTATTACTGTATGTTCAACAAACCCAAACAAAAATGCCAGACTCATCCATTTCCAGATATGCACAGGGAGCATTTGGAACAGAAAATGCCACTAAGGTAGTAAGGAGAAAGGGAAGCAAATAAGGCACCTGGAAATGTTTTAGGCGCCAGTTTTCGGTTTGTAGCTGGGGTCCCATGCTGGGGGGAAATGCTCCAAAAAGAGTGAATAGGCTAGCAATGGGATTTATTAGACTGGTGTAGCTGCCACTGAAACTAACCACCGCCAGTAGAAGTGAGCAGTGGTAACTTCATGTTGTTGTTATTTTAGGGTTACTAGGCTTCGTGGGTGAGGGAGAAGGAGGTGAAGAGCACGAGGGGCTGACAGATGAAGTCAGAAAATGGTGTCTAAGTGGTGCAGAAAGGCGTCACTTTTTAGAACATTGGTTCTAGCAGGATGGGAGAGCATCATTTGAGCTCCAGTTTAGACAGGAGGACAGTACTTGGCTGATGACCAATGAACTTTGCTGCTGCTTTTGGTGGCAGTCAAACTACTCGCACTGTGTTACTGCAAAAATAGTGCATTTCTAGCTACTGGCTGTTCACTGCAGGTGTGAGCTGTATGCACATGGAAGTTTGCAAAACACCCAGAAGATAGATATCTCTCTGGAAAAAAATAAAATTATTTGATGCACAGCCTAGACAGATTGCATCACTGATTTCCACTGGCACAGTGAATACTGTCATCGAAATTCCCTCCAATCAGAGCACAAGCCCTTGGACAATCTTAGATACCTTCCTCTTTGGAGAAACACTTACCAAACCATGCCTGTTGCTCCCCCTGAACTTCAATCGCAAGTCCGAAGTCAGCCAGCTTGACAGCTGCACCCTTGCACTTACTCGCAAGTAGCAAGTTCTCAGGCTAGGAAGGCGAGGAGAGAAAACAAGAAGAGAAGGAAAACCTTGAGTAAATATATTCTCTCTACAAACGCCTGGTATATATTTTGAAAAGTTCACACCTACAAATGTCCTCTCCAACAGAAGAGCTGTCTTTAAAGTAACAAAAAGAATGGAGTAAATTTATGGTTTATATAAGTGAGAACTGTAGAAATATGAAAACGTTGGCAGGATTGAATTGAATCTTATGTCACGGTGTAATTTTTAACCAATGAAACTGTGAATTATAGATTGGAATAAGAAAACTTGCGGAAGGGAAGGACGGAAGTCAATGGCTCTATGGAGCATAAAGTAGGATATATGTAATAAGATTTGATGTTTGTTTGTTGGTTGGTGTTGGTATTCTTAAATCTCAATAAAAAGCATTTGGAAAAAAGAAAAAAGAAGAGCTGTTTTTAAAAAGCCAGCTTCAAACTTGCACCTATGATGAGCTCCAACTGGTGGCATTCTGCAAAGGAAACCGTGTTCCTCTCCCACCCTACCCCAAAGATTATGGAGTTAATTTATATAGAATTCTCCTAGGCAACCCTTGCAATCCAAGACAAGTTACTAAATATATTGACAGTAGATGGCACTGGCGGTACACTTCCTTCACTTCTGCTGGAGATAACATCCATGTGGAGACATAATGATGCAGCAGACATAGCAAACTGCAGTGATACAACTCCCAATGAACATCATACCAGGTCCCCAAGGCACAGGACAAGGAAAAAAAGGGGGAGGGGATAATATGCAGGACCATGTACACAGTGATTTATTTGCACAGAGCAAGGGATTTGAAGTTATGCACCAATAAAAGAGCAGAAATTCTAAGTTATGCAAATCAACACGCATTTGCATAATTCACCCCGCTTTTGTGAATCATGAGGGTGGGTGGGCAGGAAGCTGGACAAGCCCGTTCGGTTCTTTCAAGCCTATGCTGGGCAGTTTTAAGGGACAGAAACTCTTCCGTCACAGAACGCTTCTCTTTGTATTCTTTGCTCAATTGTAAAGTCCATCACGGAACGCAGAGCATCCGGCTAAGGACTGCTGAATGGAGAGATCCAGATGGGGCTGGTTATGTAGTCACTGCAGCGCTCTTGTCTGCTGATTCAATGTGAGCTCTGTTGGAAATTTTCATCTGCAAGGATTTATTACGACGAGGCCTCTGTTGCCATGAGGCTGAGGAGAATAGCCACTATATCCTTCCCTCCTTGCTCAGGGCATGAGACTGTGTCCCCTTTTCTCCCTCCTGGCAGACAAAACTAAAACAGCTCCAATGCAGATAATCGGGGAAGGCAGAAGCAAGGGGCTCAGAAACAGACTGGAGTAAGGATCGCCCGGGGCTGGCATCATTCTACTTCTGGAGAGACCGGGGATCTTGTATCTTAACACGCAAACTCTTAACTAAGCAGACTATGAAATTCAACTTAAAACAGGGCAGCTGCTTCAAGTAATGAAAAACCACACCCAACGTAAACTTGGGGGGGGGGTTGATGAGGGTGCCCCATGGTGTTAGGAAACAGGATCCTTATTTGGGGGCAAGCACTGAGCACACAGAAAGAATGTTTATTTTCCATGGCCTCTGATATTCGTGGCAACTGAAGCTTTTGTTCCAGGCGGATTTAGAACTGACAGGGTGCCCAGAAAATAGGCCAGGTGGATGTTCAGGGATCAGTTCTGTTGTGCTCCATGGCGGGAATAGGTCAAACATACCTGAAGAACCCAATGCGGTGGGAAGGATTTACCAGTAAGTGTTGGAAAGCTCGCACCCATAATCCACTATGAGAAATGCATTAGGATCAAGTGTCTAGAAAAGATACAGTGGTACCTCGGGTTAAGAACTTAATTCATTCTGGAGGTCTGTTCTTAACCTGAAACTGTTCTTAACCTGAAGCACCACTTTAGCTAATGGGGCCTCCTGCTGCCGCTGCTGCACGATTTCTGTTCTCAACCTGAAGCAAAGTTCTTAACCCGAGGTACTATTTCTGGGTTAGCAGAGTCTGTAACCTGAAGCGTATGTAACCCAAGGTACCACTGTATTCTTTTGAATACATTTAAGTCTGAGCTGAAGTCCAATACTTACTTGTTTCAGGGCTACTTTCTGCTCTAATCTGAATCAGGTGGTAACCATGTTCCTTCCCCCCTTTTTTTGCAAATTATTTTTTATTGCTTTCCAAAAGTTTTAACAAATTATCATCAAATTAATGCAAAATGAAAAGTTGACTTACCATCCTGCTAACTTTATGTTTCTCTTCCCTTCCTTACTTGCTGCTCAATGTTACATACATTTCCTAATTCCATTTTAATACTTAAAATAATTTAGCATTATTTTTTCTTCCCCACACCCTTCATTTCCCATTGGATGTGTATATTTCAATTCCTGCTAGACTTTTATTTAACTATAACATATTCCCAAATGTTAAGTAGAGTTACTCTTCACTTTGTCAGCCTGCAAAGATCGTTAGCCATGTTCCCGGTCTACAACCACTTCGGACTAGCATATGAACATGAAATAAACTGTTGGGTCTTTGGACACAGAAGGTCCAAGCTGAATCATATTGTGTTCCCAACATACTGTATTTTCTAAAAGCAGTGAGGCATTCCTCCATATGGGAGCATCCAAACATCCCATCTCCACCTGCAAGGAGAGGCAGTCCAGCCAAGGAAATGCCCTGCCTCTAGATTCTGATTAATGCATCAATTCTCACAATCCTGTTTTCCCTCTTTCTGGTTAGAAATCATGGGGCTGCTGCAAAGGTGTGTGTGTGTGTGTGTGTGTGTGTGTGTGTGTGTGTGTGTGTAAAGCAAGAGACACAGTCCTCCACAAGCGCTTAATAGCAATGGCTCCATCAACACTGGCAAGCCCTTACACCAGCAGTAACAACAACTAGAAATTCAACCACTGTTATGCAGTACATCAGATAGGATACTGCAGAAAGGCAGTGCACAATATTCTTGCTCATACTTTGAAAGATGTGGGTGCATCTTGGGGGGAGGGAAATGCATGCAGCAGCTAAGGGCAATGAGTTGACCACCACCACTTTCCCATAAACTTGTCTACTTCCCACTCTCTTTCCTGGCACATCACACAGCTGGCTCAAGATATATATATATATATAACTGTGGGAGATATTTACAGCCAAAGCCTCATGCCAAGGCTGAAGACATGCCATTCCACTGGTGCGTATCACAACTCTGTTCTGCATCTGGATTATGATTCCAGGCTGGTTGTGAGAGCTTCAGCATTCATGGTGGGAGTGCTGGCCTTGCTCTCTTAACATACGAATAGGGAATGAACCTCTTTTAAAATTAAAAATGAACCAGAAAGGTTCAGCACGAACATATGTCACATAACGGAACAATGAAAAAGTTTACCAGTAATTCAATTCCCAGGGAAGACTGGACATTCATAAGCAATTGTGTAATAACTTCAGTGTCCAGATATTATACACTTCTTATTTCTAGTAGCTCCAGTTTAATCACCTTATTCCCAAAGATTATGCTGATATTGTCAATACTAGTGGTGCATGACCCACCCACCCCAGCTTTCATCAAAGCTCACCTGTTTTTTTGGCAAGCATTCCTGCTGAATACTCAAAAAATGCCAAGGTGATTTTCATGGCCCCCTGCAAGCCTCCTCCTCATAAACAAAATCTATGGGAACGAGGAGGAAATGGCAAGCAGTGAAGAAGGCTCACTGGACAGGTCTTCCTGAACCAGAAACAATGTCATCCCCTACCCTTGTTTTTCTAGACAGAGAAAACTACAAGCCCCATGATTCCTGCAAAAGAGAAATACTTGGGCAGCATGTTCAGAAGCATCATTTCAACCTCATGAGTTCAAAGCTTGGCTATTATCCAAACAAGTTGCTTGTTTTGCAGCTGTCTGTGGTCCTACAGACCATGTCTGTCTAATCTCTGCCTGGGACAAGCAAGCAAACCACTGCATCTGATAAAAACTATGCTGTACTCTAAAGCCAGGAACAGGGAAATGCTGTTTGACTCCAACTCCCATCAGCCCCAGACAGCACAGCAGATAGTCAAGGATGATGGGAACTGTAGTTCGATAATACCTGGAGTCCCAGAGATTTCTCAACCATGCTATAAGCACGCTGCAATGGATGTGGGTGGGTGTCTACAAACAGAACAATATTCTTTGACACCTTTTGAAGTTCTCTTTTGGATTGGAAGTTGTCACACCCAGACTTCATTGCATGTAACTGTCATGATTTATGCACTTAACAGAAATCAGTCATGGAACCACATGCACCACCCCAAAGTCCCTGTCCTTCTGTGTGTTGAGCAGGAAGGTCCGACGGGGTCTTCCAAGCACATTCAATGGAATGCACAAGAAGCTCCCCCAAAATTGGTTAAGCTGCTTAGAAGACTCGCCACGCTCAAGAACTCTAATAACAGTGTTCCCCAAACAACCAAGGAGCCCCCTTCATACCTCCCCACAAAACGTTGGAGGAGCAGGGGTGGAGCATTTGGAAGTGGTGTGCAACATACTGATTGGACTGTAAGCAGAGACAAATACATCAACGCACAGCTCAACAACCCCCGTGAATTACCTAGTTTCTAGATCCCAACACTGATGCCATTCCAACCCCGAAGAGAAAGTTGTACTCGCTGGAGAGAAAGTGGTGGTATTATGCCCAATCAACATAGTTTGTTCCTAGGTTTGGGCTCTCCAGCCTTTATATAAGCCTCTCCCCATTCCCACAATGACAGCAGAAAACAATATACTGTATTTTGTTAATCTAGCCACATGTACAAAATACTCATTGTAGCTCTTGGTTTTCTTGTAGTAAGAGATGGAACACTGGAAGGAGGAGGGGGGAATGGGAGGAGGAGGAGGAGGCATCCTGGCACAAGATACTCACTGTTCAGAGATTTTAATTTTCTATGAGAGCAGCAATATTAACACTTGTGGGGTCTTGTTAAAGGCGAGGAAAAAAGCATCTCAAAGTGATGTTCACTTCCA